CCTCTCACTGTATCAATAGTATACTGTAGTAATAATAAGAATAATAAGTGTGAACTCTAACTATCCTGGTGTTGTATAATTTTAACGGTAAACATTATATAGAATTAGATCTAAATATAAATTGTGTTTACGTTTAACAGCAAACAAAGTTCATATTATTTCAATGAAAAAACTTCATTTCTAAATTTTTTTACTCCTACATTGGCTAGTCATAAATTGCTGTGCATTCACTTTTATTACATTGAAATAGTGAATAAAGTGTAACAACAAAATAGCTGAAACATTAAACAGATTTAATATTCTAAGGCAATTAGGATTTCTATTGAATGAAAAGAATTTTGGAGGTACTATGTTCTCTCTTAGCTGGATATTCCATCCATGATGTTTTCATTGTCTTGCTTGATAGCTTCATATCTCGTCAAATGTACTGTTCAAAATAAGGAAAATAGCCGAAGAAAAATACTTTTCAGATGATTTTCTTTGAATTCTACGTTTGAATTTTAGTGAATTATTGTTTATTGCTTCATAATTCTTTGTAAAATGAAGAATTTACTTCCTTAAAGATGTTTGGTCAATATTTTCAAAAACTGGATAGTGAGTGTTACGGAAAACTATTATTCTAAACTGTCTAATTGTTGTAACGGGTGACTGCACGTTATGATGAGCAGCGTTTATATCGATCGATCACAGTAACACAGAAAACACGTATGGACGACCTAGAGCCCTGATTGGTCCCGCTTCGCAGTCTGTCCCAGCCAGTTGAGTCAGGAACGCAAGTCACAGCCTCTGAGTTATGAATCATTTTATTTCAGACATACTCTACTTATATACCAAATAAACAAACCACATCGTACCATAAAAATAGAAAACAACATTTACACAATATGTAACGAATGAATTAAATAATAGCCGATAGGAAATGTCCATTCAACATCCAAGGACACCATTCAACTTAACACGATAATTATTGGTACATTCCTCTGCATACCTAACACTAATCATGAAAATTTACTACACAAATTTCTAAACTTCGCTGATGTATCAGATACCGGTTGGTCTTATTTATTCGTTCTGTTTAACACTTAGATTTCACGTACTTATTTCTACAAAAGATGATTTAATTATTTCAAACAATGACAATGGAGTTTATAGGGGACTGGTACACATCTAGTTTCAAATAAATAAAAAATATGTACTTTATCAAATTAAGCCTAAGTTATTTATATGACATTATTGAATGTTACTCTCCTTCCTCAGATAAATATATATGTAACCATAGAGAGATAGAAAAAAGTGCAAAATATCCTCATGAAAATAATCTTTATTTTTTAGATCATCATTGTTATAGTAGAATTAAATGAACTAAAAAGTACACGCTTCAATTGAAATTATCCATATTTATAGTCATTAAGAAAAAAATGTAAAACAATGTCAACTTTATTTGTAATACGTTTTTAACCACATATTTTTCATGATGTACCTTATCGATGCTTCTCAGTAATAATAATTGTATAAATGTAACCTAACCGAGCTTCGAAGTAGACAGTAGACATAACTTACTATATTATTTTTGAAATTTTTTTCTTCAAATAAATAACAAGATAATTAGTGGATACTATTAGATATGTGTTTTAAACAAAATCTCATCGAGTGCATTTCATGCCTTGATAATATCGATCATCAAGTTAATAATACGATCTACTGTTATGTGTATAAATTAAATTTTGGAAAGGCTGCTATAAATATGAGTTTAGTCAAAATAATATATACTCCTACTAAAGTACGAAGGTGATATTCATCAATCAAGAACACTGTTATTTCAAACATAAATATTACATTAGAGGTGATTAAACAAACTTGTCGAGTTTTATAGTTTACAAATTACATAGATAAGTATTTGATTAAGATTTTTGTAATAAATCAAATACCTGTCTCACAAAAATGTCACTTAATAATAATTTATAAAGTATCATGTATAAGAACAATAAAAGAAAATTGAATTTAATTATCACATATTGTGTTATAAAGTAAATATTGGTTTATTGTGAACTCATCTTATTTTCGTTTGGTTGTTTTCTTTTGCTGTTATACTGATGATTGATTTTCTTTAAGGAGGGGACAAATAGTACATTTATTCATATTATAAAAAGTAAAAATATGTCTTATTAAAATCTAAGAAACTATCGATGTTAAATACAACAATAGAATAAAGGAAATACGGTAAAATACTGAAATTTATTATTTTCATTATCAAGTCATATGACTTTTAATGTACTTTCTAACCTTCATACTCCATCAATTTTATGCATTTATTTGCTTATATATATATATATATATATATATATATATATATATATATATATATATATATATATATATATATATATATATATATATATATGTTCATCTTAAGAACTTACATGAAAATTTTATTTCTTTTCTAAAAACCAATTGATATCTTTCGTTTCATAACAGTATTCTTCATAGATGTAAATAACTTTCAATAATTAAAAATGTGTAACAAATAATTGTGATTGTATTGTATATGAAAGAAAAGTTTAACTAATTACTTGGCTTTTTCTCAGTAGACAAAAACAGTTTCTGGTTTCAATTGATATTTCCACTGTCTTATACTATCTAAACAAAATTAAATGGATTAATTACAACAATTTACCAACAACATTAACTTAAATAGATTTTTTGTAGAACTTCTAGAATGTCTTGGAATTTATGTGCAAAACTTTTGGACAATGAGCTGACCAGATCAATATCCTTTTCAGAAGCTAGTCAGATGGTTTTCTTTAAGTTTCTGTAGGGTAAGAGTTGGCGCACATAAAGCTATCAAGAAAATAAGCAAAGATTCATAATCACGTTATCTAGTTAACAGAAGGCTACACTGCCAGAATACTCATTTTGTATGTGAAAATGAAGTTTAGTTACTAGTTCGGTTTTGCGACTTAACCTGTAGAAATTTTCGTTTTTTATTCAGATAACGACCTAGCATTACTTTCAGCCTTCGTACGGATTTCAGTCAATATCTATTATATCTAGTAAGAATATATATCATGATAGTCCATAAATGATTGATAGCGGTTATCATTCATTTATTCTTTGTTCGGATATAACACTATTCTTATTCACTTCTTAACTGTGTATATCCAAATTCATTGTTCAAATATAAGTAAAGGTTTCATGACTGGACGCATTGATGAACAATGTTGAAACTGCATATTTTGTAAGTTCTGAACCAAAATGAAAATAGTTCTACAAATAAGTGATACGCTTAGACAATGAAACCACTTCATTTACTGTTAGAACGGCTTCCGAGAATTAAGACGGAGCCTCTAAAGGCCTCAGAAGAGTCGAAGAGTTCCACTCAATCAAAACGTAATGGAACTTTCTAGAATATCAATGTCGCATGATACTATTGACCAGTAGCATAACATGTCTATTTGCGCATTGGTTGACCTATAATGTTGATTTAACAAACGCTAATATCTATAAGTACCCGTAATTTTCTGTACATTTCGATTCTTGCCCAACAAGTACTTTCTCCAGTCTTCTGTCTTATTTGCGACTTGAAGGGTTCTGGCGTTCGAGCGCTCAAGTTATACGCAGTATATCTAAGCTCTGAATATAACACTTACATATACATGTATATATTTGATCACTATAAGTACCAGGAAATAAAAACTTACTTATAATTTACCCTTTAACGAAGTTTCTTTATAAATAATTGAACAGTCAATTTCCATGCTTGATAATAGATTGCTAATGAAATAGTTTTGTTTGATTATTTTTACGAGATAGTTTTTCACCACCCCTTCTCATGTAGCTAATTTAGATTATAGTTAAATTCAATTAACCAATAAATTTCCTTTAATCATATTAAGAAAATGAACTTGGTCTGTAACAACACAAAGAAATTGGTCTGTTTTCATGGAATTAATTTCTAATTCTCTAGTGAAACTTTCATTTTGATACAATGAAAATAAATTACTGTTAGTTCATTTTAATTGTTTCAATGAGGTTTGGTGTGTAATTGTATAGAAAATTATTTCTGTAGACTTATTAATTATAAATTTCAAGCTGAAAAATCAAAACTGGACTGATAATGATGTTGATACATTGCTACCATATCGACTAATACACGTAGATAAATATTCACTTCATCAAATCATAGTAAAACGTAGCCATGAATAAATAACTTTTTAATTAGTTTCTCAATAAAATTCGTCCACCTAAATAGATTTATCATTAATAGTTTTAATAAAAATAGTTCTAAAAAGCGAATTCTTGAATTGAAATTATTCAGATAGGATATGCTTCAAGTGGTCTAACAGGAATAGTAGTAATAATAATGCGTCTTAAAATATATACACAACGTTGTGTATGAAGTGAAAATGCGACTAAATACAAAAACTCAGATCGCACTTAGTCTTTCAGTACCGAATGCAATACTACTGGGTCAAACAAATGTTATGGTTGTGGAATGTGAAAAGTCAGGGAAGTTGTATAACAGTTTTCTTCAAGTCTTGAAATCAAAGTTAAGCAAAACTTATCAAATTTCATTTGAAAACTTTACTGATAATTGGAATAAAGATCGAAAAATACACAATAAAAGCAAGTAACTGTTGTGTGACACAATTTGAGCTGAAGAAAAACACAAGTTATTGAACAAGAAAACATTCCAATTCAATGGGAATACACATTATGAATAATCTATGTTAATCGGTGGTCAATTGAAAATGTAATATATCATTAGTATCTTCTGTTCATTCACTTCTAGTCTCATTACTTTGATTCGGACTGCACTGGCTGTATTCCTCAGATCATATATATTATTTAATAGCTTAATATTGAACTTCATTAGTTGAGGTGTTTTACTATTAAATGAAACCATTTCCTTTCAAAATGATAACTTTTTGAGTAAATATTAATAAAGATTTAGAAATAATATTAATAATTTTATATCATATTTGACTTCTTTTCATATAAAGGACTTGGGTTGTTCAACTATATCACAAGCATTAGCTTCACCTTGTTTTTCATCCGAAATCCTCAATTCAGATGAAAATCAACGCGGTTTAATCCGATTGTTTCTATCAGAAAATATGATCACCAGATCAAGTATGAATAAATTGGCAACTGGACTAATACGCTGCACACGTTTAACAACTTTACAATTATCTGGGAATTTGAATATTGGCTCTTCCGGTTTATTTGATTTGAAGTCAAGTCTTATCAGTTGTCCATGTTTAAAACGTTTGGGTATTGCATTTTGTGGTATTGATCATGATGGTGCAGCATGCATTACAGAAATATTAATAAAAACAACATCTCGTTTCAAAATAATAGATCTGACAGGAAATCCTATTGGGATAGAAAATTGTTTAGCATTATTAAACTCTTCAGCTTATTTAGATGAAAAAGTTAGAATAATAGGTTTAGGTAAGTTTGATCTTATTTAAATCATATATTAAAATCTATATGAACATGTACATAAATACCTATGTTTAATTGTGTTTTAGAGTTTCAACCATCATCGTTAATGCAATATGCAAGACAGTTATCGGAAAAGGAAAATAATAGTCTTTTACATCAGAGTAATGTAAGTAGTATATTTGATTTATTTTCTTGGTCCTTTAGGTTTGCTATATTTGTGAAAGTTTACTGTGTTATTATTACTTTAGGTTTAGAGTATGTAATAAACAATTTATCTGTCGTCAGACAAGTTTTCATGTTCCTAATACAAATGAAGTACATTGACTTAAAGTTCTATATCTGCATGGACCAAAATGAATGGAATACTCAGTGTCAGCATCTAGTCTTCATCAGATTTCACTGATTACTTTCGACATGAACTAGAATTAACTCATTTAACCCATTTTATAATTAAATTTCAAACTGAGCACATCGGTTAATGTTGGTTCTCTTGGTAAGTAACAGAAAAATTACTTTGCAGTAACTGAAATATAAATCACTTCTGACCTGATATTGCTACTATGTACAAAGCAAAACAGAATAAGGCTAAGGCCTCAAAATACATCAACTCTGAATTGTTCATCGGGGTGTTAAAGGTTACTGATTGATCCCTTCTTCATGACCATCTAATAAATAAATATTTTTAAACGAGATCATGAACCGTTCAATGCTAGGCCACCGTTCGAAATCTGGGAGCACTGAACGGCCGTTTGTCCTAGTATGGGACTCCTCAGTAGTAGGCACCCACGATCTCTCGCACGGGACTCGAACCCATGACTTTTGATCTCGCGCGTAAACGTTTAACTTTTGGGCTTTGAGCCGGTATCCGCCGCTATTACTGTCTAACATCAGCCGGTCCACGATATTAAGAGGCCATCCTTACTTGTCTTCAGTGATTAACTGCCTCACATCCGACACGAATTAGCTTAACTTAATACGTCCTTTCACTAGAATTCCGAGAAATGCATATCAAAGTCAGTCACTAACGGACGCATGATAATTATCAGTAAAGAGTTGCTGAGATGTGGATGCCCACTGTTGAGGAGTCCCGTACTAGGACGAAACAGTCTTCCTGTGCTTTCAGGTTTTAAATGATGGTTTAACATTGGTCGGTCCATGATCTCAAAGCTCACCAAAACCCTATGGTGAAAATAAATATTTCGTAAATAACCGTCTTATTCTTCTAAAGTCAGTAAATGGTGTCTCGTATGGAGGTTTGTGAACTAACATAATTAAACTACTTTTCAGCAACCAGATTGTATGCCAAGTCCGGAATTCTTTAGTTTTTAGTTTAATATATGCCAACATTATTGTCTTCCATTTATCAGTGTTAATAGCTACAGTTGATCAGTCTCAGTTGATATATAGCACCTAAAGCGGATTATTTCAGTATTCCCTTTCAGTTACAAGTTTCAGCAACTCTGGTTTATTACTTAATGTGAAAAGCAACACGAAAATGTAAATACATCCTAATAACGAGCTCGAATGAGGATGAGAATGATGTTCTGAACTTTACTTCTAGTTGTACACATTACTCAAATTTCTCTATTTTAATATAACGATGACCCTCAGATCCTCGGATTAATTTTTTCATCAATAGTATAAATATATCTCGAAGGACGTTAAACTTCACTCCGTTTGATAACTTTAGAGTTATTATACCTGTTTTTATCTGTACTTTATTCGTAGTACTTTGTAGTTGTACTTGCTGACAACAAGGGTTTACTAAAGAAATATTCAAAACTAGAATTGCAAGATTGACACGTGATATCCTGAAGTAATGGGGCGTAGCAAAGAATAAATTATACAACTATAATTGGAATATTACTTTTGATATCGAGTGATTGAAACTGTTATTGAATAGTTCTAGTTTATAATAATGAAGGATGTGTACAATTTGGTTTTCTGGTTTTTACTCCTTCGTGAATGGTTCTGTCAACGTAAACCTATATTCACCTGACGATGCACAATTCGACATCCAGAAAATTAGGCGACTATTTTAATGATTTCGTACTTTCTCAAAAATTTATATCTTACAATCGCTTTTACTTAGAAAATTGTATAACAATGCCTACGGTTACGGTAAAAATGGTCCAAATGATCTTCTATGTGTCAGTAGCACAATCATTTTTACTCTGTAATCGAATCTTCAACTTACATTGGTTTCCTAAATTCTAGGAAAAGTAAATTTCTACAGACTTCTCATAAGTTGGGAATCATGTATGATTTCCAATTCATTTGAATATCTAAAACTGAACTATTTCAGCTCAACTCTGAGTTTGATCAGATATTATCCAAGTATTTTTACGTTTTAGTCTGGTCATACAAGGTATAAATCATTTGCACTACGTATATTTAATGTAGATTTTGGTTTAATTGATTAATTAATTAATCTCTTAGAACTGAATTTAGAAATCGATATATCCATTAATGGAATTACACTTTATGTCTGTAAACAGAGTATTTTCTTTGCATAATGGTTTTTCCGACTGTTTTTTTATTCTGATGTCAGGATAATTCACAGGCTCAAAGTGATGGATTGAATCCAGATAGAGATTATCAACGGCCTAAGCATAAGAATCGGAGACATTCTCAGATTAGTTCATCGAAACATTCAATTTATGGAAAAAGTAAATTCACTTCCTTACCTACAATTGACTACAAACATAAACCATATTCAGAACTTAACCCGAAATATTTGTGGGGTGACAGTTCAGATGATGAAGATAGAGTGAATGATTCTGATGATAACAGTGTATCTGTAATTACAAAAACAAATAGAAATTACCTTTCAGAACAAAACTACAGACAAATTAGAGAAAACGAATGGACAAAACACCATTCTATTAGTTGAACTGTATACATATTTTCATGAGATTCAAATATTTTATGGAAAAATTCCTCTCGCTGTCTTCAGTCCTAACTTGATTGTTAGATTTATACAAATGTATCAAATAACCTTGAATAATGTAAGTTACACAGCCCTTACTGTGTACTTACATCATTGATGTAAAGTCGTCAGATTTCTGTCAACAGTCTTTTCTAATGAATATATGTATTTTTCCACAACTAGATTTCCTTAGATTCACTATGAATCTTCGAAATTTCAATGTTTAACTAAAGATTATCATAGAAAGGTAAAATATGAACTACACATTAAGCAGAAAAATTAAAATCACTGAAAAGATCGTAGTATGAACTAAGAATCCCAGAAATAACGCAGTCAAGAAGTACTAGATAAACACAAACGAATGTACTGTATTTAGAATTCGATATCAAGCATTCAACAAGTACAAAGGAATCATTAGTTCATTCAAACACCACAGTGTCATTGGTGATGGAATATTCAATATATAAGTACTATCAACCAGTATCAGATACATTAAATTTAATCGTACTGTTAATTTATCTGTGATGTTTGAAAACAAATATCGTTTTCACTCAGTTACGCTTGAAGTATTTTAAATAGCCGTAGACAATAAAGTGGTGTTATAATGTTATAGATTGAAAAAAATTAAGATTTACACGATTATTCGATGACAGAAGTGGTTTGCAGAATTTTAGATAGTTAATAGAATGTAATAAATAATAGTTAGCTTTCATCTTCCACATTATTCCTCCACCAATTCCAATGACAACTTTCTCAAGCATTGCTATTAACGTCTATTTTGAGAGGTGTTTTTCACTTGAAAAACCTGTGCAAATCAATCTGAATTCATCACAGGTCAGAATTTATTAATAAAACTATGTACAAACTATTTGCAAGAGAAACGTACACTCAGATAATTATGCACTAATGTTAGCACAGGTCAAATGATTTCTGTACTGTAGAATGTACCCATCAAAATGTTGGATCTAACAGAGTGCAAAATATTTTGCCATTATCTTCTATTTCCGATGATTTAGAAATGTGTAAACTCTACAAAACAATGTTGCAAACATAATAATTTATCCGAAATAATTGAGAGTACAACCAGTTGCATATTTGAGTAAGAACACACATAATCTCTTTGGTGCATGTGCGAATTGAGTTGCCTACGGTTTTGTAAAATTTCTGAAGACTGGTTACAAACCTAACACGTCATAAAATAGGTATTCTCAAATGGGTCAAGACTTCCAGTGAGACCTCTAAACATTTAGAAGATAATGTCTGTCCAAGATAACTGTCAACCTTCAGTGTCTTCGAAAAAACATCAAGAAATACAGTTGGTTTCGTGTTGAAAATATTCAACAATTAAGAAGCTTTGTAGACGGAATATTAAAGTCAAATAACTTGTGTGATATTTGCAATCAAAATTTAACTATGGCTGAGGCGTAGTTGCATTTTATTGTCATTTACTTAATCAATCCCATATTACAAGACAACTGAGCATTGTAACTATATCATTCATAAGTGTTGTTTTTACTTGACAGTCATGTGAATGAGAGATCATCACCGCGTATATATCAATGAAGTATTTACAACTTCAAATCCTAAACTTTCAAGCTAATTAATTAATTTCATTTGGTGTTGTTTGCTTGTGTATTCCGATTGTTGTTTAGGACTGCATTTGATCAGTCTGTTATTGGCATATGTGCATGCTGTGTGGATTGTCTCGATTTTGCCTTAAGTCACAAGCTGTACATGCAAAGATGGATGGTGGCTAGAAGTTGAATCCAATTTGGGACTCGTCAGCTGGATTTACCTGAATCTTAAAGTTAATAATCACTGCTGGATTCGAGTTACTCTAGTGAAATGATTAGTAAACTTATAATATCTCATTAAATTCATTGGTTCTAATTTATTCAAAGAAAATCATCATAGAGCTATTTAATTAAACTAAACTCATCATATTGTGATCAGGATTCTATATTGTACCAAAAATTTAAAATTGAATAAATCCACTAATTACAATAATGATAATCTAAAATTATAATTTGTTTACAAAGTTGTACGTATTAGGAATTCCGTATGGAACGTAAATTGTGTTTTACACAAATTAACTATCTCTATTATTTTATTGTTAACAATCGAAAAGTAAAACAAATCTACAATCATTTCAATGCCTCTAACATTAACGGTTTGAACTGTTCAGTTATCAGCTATACTGACTGATCATTGTGAGAGAACCAATATCGTATAGTTCCAGTTGTTTAGTACTGTTCAAATTCTGTTGATGAAGTGTATGAGTTATCCTTGTAGACGAAAGAATACAAATCATGCTTTACGTATGTCTTTACTTGATGGTAATGATCGATAGATTGACAAGTCGAAAATTTCCCGCTTTGCATCATAATTATTACTATTGAGGCGACAAGTAAAGTAGGTGACAAGGACACAGGTAGGGACAACCAAATATATTGAAAATGAAATTACAGAATTTCTTAGTAAAATTTGAGAATGGTACATTTAATAATTCATTCGCAAAATGTCCATCAATTGTCTCAAACGTCGTTGATCCTATGTCTCCATACCAAACACTCTTTGTTTTCATTCACTTCTCTTTTGTCTTCTTAACATACTGCCTCCAGGCATTCCACTTTCGAGTGGTGATTCATACTACTTATATCTATCGACATCAGTAGTACACACACCACACTATTATTATTGTGTGTATTTATTGTACTTAAAATGATAGTATTGGTTTGTAATCTTAGTTTGTATATTTCTCCTAATAGTTTTAAACATTTCACAATGATAGAAACTTACATTAACAATATGGATATTTAGAACAAACAGTTTGTATTCAAAAGGAAATCTATCAATTACAATGAAAACAACATATGTTTCAACTTGTTTTATGTTTATAAATACTAACATTCCTGCACCAACTAAGCAAACTCCCATTGTAAATAATTATAAAAATGATTCCTGAGAATGTTCCATCGAAAATGATAAACATTCTGAAGTACAACCTAAATGCTAAATTACAACCATAGTTCACATCAGTTTTGTAATTATTAACTTTCATAAGCTTCTTTTGTTAAATCCTTAATGAAAATACCATCTTAACTATTGACTGATTTGCTTTAACAATAAGAATGACTAAATTCGTTTTATTTATGCAGAATCATTTACATATATCGCCAGTAAAATAAATGTCGGTGGTCAAATTTCAGATTTCTGCTGAATATAAACAAGTACATAATTTTCTTAAAACCACTAATCAATCTAAGTTAAGTAACCATCGAAAACCTGGATCAGCTCGTGATTTCAATCAAACTCAACAATTTGCACAGCTTCGTAATGAAAGGCATTAATTGCAAATAATAATAAAGAGTTCCTATCACCGTGGTTGTTAGTCGTATTCTACAACATACGAACACAAAAAGAGGTTCGTTTACTTATTCTCATTGGAAACGAATATGTATTACTTACAATATGTATTCTCTCTGATACATATCTATAAAAGAGATTACGTCAGCTGCAACAAAATTCACACTAAATTAACTGAATGCCTCCTCCGTTTACGCATACATAAACGTACATGCAACTGCTTGCATCAGTAAAAGAAGACAAATACTGATACGAGTTTGATTGAGGAAACCTCGAAATTCTGGATTGACTGAATTAAAACTATTGAGAGAATTTCTGGAAACACAGAACTGTATTCAATCAGAATTCATTAGGCATGTCATCATGGACCTATTTCACAGACCTATACAGGAAACATCAGTTAATCATGTATCAATAGGTTAACAGAATAAAGTGATCATTAAGAATACAAAGATAAATGCAGCCAACTAAACGTCTCAGAGTAACCACTCACAGATAAGCTAGTCAGAATGAGTTAGTTTCTACCTAAACCAAAACAAACTAAATCACACCAGTTGTTTTTCTAGGGTTACTGTCGATTCCGATCCCGGAAAAACGAGGAGGGTTGGGCATGAGGACGGCATCCGCATCCCGTGAAGAAACAACCCTGCTAAAAATGCTAACCAGAATAAACATATTAAACCATTTCAACTGTGTTGTCTGGGTTGAAGTTTCTTGCTTCTGAAGAATTATGACACCTCGTGGTGAATGCCGTTCCCTGTCTAACATCAAGACCAGAGCAATAATTCTAACAGGTGCATGGAATGTTCAGGAAATGTGGAAAACCGGGAGAACTAGTTAAACAGCCATGGAATAGGTGGTGCTCAAAATCAGTGAAACACATCAGATCCAAGCTGGACAGAAATGAAAAGATTCAGAAGAGATGCTTCAGTACTCAGATCATGAAGAACAAAGTGTCGCACATATTCAGTGAATTGCTCTTATGCTGTCCAAAGAAGCACAAAATGCGCTTATTGGATGAGAATATCGTAGAATCGCGATCACTAAAGAATCTTTTAAAGCAAAGCAGGAGAAAACTGCGATGCATTTCAGCCAATATAATGCACCCACTAAGGACAGCAATGACCACGGAATATATTAGTTTTACGA